TAGGCTTTGCATTGCAGACAAAAGAGAGTGGAGTGCTGGGAGTCTTTATATATATAATATATATATATAAGAGTGTGTAGCGATTGTAGCGAACAGGACTTGGGCGTTCAAGCAGAAAACGACTTGACCTGACCACCTCTTTTCTTGGTGATGAAAGATGCAAACAAGGCTTCACATGGCTTGCTGACAGTCAAACTGAAACGACCAAAGGAGGGCAACACCAATCATGGATTTCCGGGTCTCACCATGAACTTGAATGAACGGTTTTGGATGATGATGTTCCTTAACAAGCAGGAGAGATGAACTCCGGCGCCATGTGAAGACGCTGAGTCGATTTCTGCAACAAAGCTCACTGAACTGTATGTGTATACCAAGAACTTGTCTCATCCCCACATTCTCACCTTCACAGTGTGCCAGGTGTGGTTCACCTACTGTATGGTCTGAACATTTGGTGACCCCCCAGGGCAAGTCTGTGACCCGTGTGGAGGATGGGGTGAATCGCTCCCATCCTACCTGTTCGTGGATCGATGCTCTCATACCAGTCTGTTCACTTTCGGCAGACCGGGGTCTCCCCCGTTCCCATGGCTCCCTGTCTCCAGACCGGTTGGTTCGGATCGATTGGCGGAGGACGCTGACGCTGAGGTTTGCCAGAAGTTGGCGCAAAGTGCGGCGGAGCCAAGCCTGGTTCGGGATCCCTTGGAGGGCATGGCGCGGCAGCCCAGAACACGAGCGGAAGAGCCGTTCCGACAAGCAGTTCCGCGACTTGAATAGTGGCGCAGACGTGCTTCATGGTGCTCAAAGGGAGCCCCTAGTAGCATCCTTGCTCCTAGTAGCGATGCCAGGAGCCCCGTTCGTAGCTGTTCCTATATAAGGCCAGGAGCCCCGTTCGTAGCATCCGATCGCTCCTAGTAAGGATTTCAAGTATAGGTGGATTCTGGACCATCACGATTCGCCAAGTAGGAGTCCTAGTTGCAGTGTCAGTTTGTTGTGAACTCAAGACTTTCCCAGACGCTCCTGGACCCTCATATGGAGGGGTCGGACCCTCATATGGAGGGGTCCGAAGTCCGGACCCTCAAATCCCTATGGTTTTGAGGGGCTGATTGGAGCGTCTGGATTGTAGAGAAAGCCCACAGGATCCCACAGGTTTTAACACTGCGTAGGGCTTGTTCAAGAGTTGGCGTATGATTGAGGACATGGTACTTTGGATATGAATCGGTGTGTCATAGTCTGTTGCTAGCATCTTCTCCAGCAATTGGCAAGCTAAGATTGTTTCACCAAACATGCGAATTGGTGTGGGGTAGTGGGACTGCTTCTTTGGTTGAACGAGCTTCTGCCCTCATCTCCACCAGGACATTTGGGCAGTTCATGAGTATGTCAACATGTCGACATGTGTAATGAACTGGCTGATCTTCCCGATGTAGCAACAAAGCAATTCCAATCAACATCATCCACTCCACTCGCTGTGTTCCACTCAAGGAAGTGGAGGGCCCGAAGACCAAACAGCTAGTGAACTCACTCCACCAAACCATAGGACCGTTTCAGGGAGGCTCGTCTCCCGCCGTTCCCGTTCCCCGAATTCCGAAATCGATGATCCTCCCGTCCTCCGTGCCGGCGGGATCCGCGGCATCTTCCAGGCCGAACGTTTAGTGTCCCTTCGCAAGAAGAGTGAAGGCCATGTAACAGTGGCTCGGTCGGAAAAGGAAGTTGGGCGACCTGCATAGATGGCCGTCTTTATGCACCTTTACTCCCTAGGGCTCCAACCATATCCTCAGAAGGTGGTTAGACCCCAAAACCCACCCCAACCACCTTCTCAGGAGGTGGTTGGAGCCCTAGGGACTATTGGCTGGTCCGGTTGATTAAGAGAGGGGAGACCTCAGTTCGACATCACTGAAGCTTGGCACTGAAACGTGGCGGATTTCTGGTGGAGGGACTGTTTCTTTCAACAGGTGAGGAGCGAAGGTGCGTCCTGGAATCACTTCTTGATTGGGATGCCCAGCTCACACCATTCTTCATCATGGTCGTTCTGTGAAGTCCGACACTTCTCAAGGAAGGAATTTCATGCAGAGTTGGTCCATGTTGGTCCTTTATCTCTGAGACTGGCTGGCATGCTACAGGCCAAGCCGCACATGCAGGACTTGCACTGGGGAATCTGACATGCGGCTGAAAGGCTGAAACCTTGGGGTGATCCATGTGGACCCACGTTGTTCACACCGCGGCGTTCCTCCGCCGCGCGTCTCTTGGCTCCGCGCCGCTTGGTCGATCGCCCTTCCGGACGGAGGACTTGCTGGGGGCGGTCGAAGCGCGGGCCAGTGTGGGGATTCCGAGCGGCAGTGGACAGTCAGTGTCGGTGTGCAGGAAAGGTCGAAAGATGTGAACCGTGTGGGAAGAAGCGAAGGGGGGTTGGACCCAGAACCACGGGTTTAGTAGAGGAAAACAGTTGGACTCAGGGTTCCATTCGACCCGGGTCCATTGTGAGTTTTTTGGGGAGTGGGACGGACTTTCGATGGATGGACGAAAGAAGCATCCAGAAGCTGCTGAGGTTTCTCTCTTTTTCTTGTTTCGGTGTTTGTACATTTGTGAGTTTCTATGCCAATAAAGAATTGGCGGGCGGGTTGAGCAACAAAGTGGTACTCTCAATCTATTTTGAGTTGGGGATAGTTGGGGATTTTGAAGAAGTAAGATGCATCCTTTCTACCGCAAATTAGTGGTGAAAGCTCTGACTACCCTGTTTTCTGGGGAGATCTAATATTTAAGGAATAAGGTAGGCAACATACATCTTCTCAATATGGATCACGGACATCTTCGTCTTCGGCTTGGCGCGGCATGGCATTTACCCACCCCAGAAGGCTCGTCATGCCGGTCTCAGTATCTGCAAACAGCTCGGAGTAATCGTCACCGCACCGGAGTTCTTCCGCTTTTTGGGTTAACCATGCACTGATGTTCTGATGCCGATGTTCAGGAGCATCGGCTTGACCCCACCAGAAGGGGGGACGCTGGACACCACATCCGCTGGCTTTCTTGGGTTGAGATCCCATGTCATCCTTAAATAGGGAGCATGTGAGATCCGATGTATTTCTTATTGTCACTACGTGCTTGAAGCATTTTCCCGTCCTTGGTGAAGAGCAATGTTCACTGCAAGCATGGGGATTGTTCTCCGCATCCATGATGTGTATTTTCGGTATTTTGATGTATTTTGTGCTCGAGGATGACGATACAGTAAAATACTTTGCAGCTCCTGAATTTACCAGATGACTGAGAATATTGACCGTGCACCGTGCACTACTCCAACCGCTAGCTGGATGTTTTTTGCTACAATCTTAGAAGTATGGCATTTAGGTGTGGCTCAGAATCGTGAGGAGACTCACAGGACGTCCATCAAAGCGTCGGACAAAAGAATGACTGTAGGACCTACATCTGAATCTTATAAGAATCTAAGTCTAAACCAATAAGGATGAAGGGCCGGCCCGTTGATTTTTGCCAGTCCCTCCGCTAGATCACTTGAGGCTGGTGGTGGAATCAATGAGCAGTTTCTTGGCGCATCCAACTCAAAGGGTCTTTTTCTTTCCGCGTAGGATGGGTTTTCTTCATTTTGCGGACAGGTATGTGAAGGATTGTGGTGTGTAAACACCGATCACCGAAGAAACAGTAGGGGGTTCAGACTCCCAAAGATGGCGCGCCAGAGAGGCTTCAGATGGGTTGCTTTCTAGGGCTTTCAACTGGTTTCTATACCAGCACCTTCAGTTCGGGGTCACCTGGCGGGTTTCGCCCCTACACCATTAAGGGACCTCCAGACAGGACACCCCTCATGTCATTTCTCGGTCACCGGTGTCATGTCATAGACGCTGCTCGGTCACCCGCGTGACCGGTCACTGACCGCCGCTTTGCGTCGGATCGAGCTGCATGGCTTTGGCACTGGAGCGAGCGAGCGAGCGGTTCGAGCTGCGTGTTTTGTGGAATGAGATAGAAGCGGTTTTGTTGAGAAGAGAAGATATAACATGATATAACTGTACATGCATGCCACACAACATGCATGCATCAAGATCTTGAAACATGGCTGTGGTTTGGGTTATCACCCCACGTTCTGGAGCATCACCATTGTTTTCAGAGGCCGCTTGTTCCAAAAGCCTTCACAAAAGGAGCCCCCTTGGAATCCAACCCATCGGGGAAGACCGGGGAATCGTGTCGGTCAGTAGGGCCTGATCAGTCGCTCTATTCAACCACTCAGTCGACCAGTAGAAAGATGGGCGCTTTCGGTCAAAGCATCTACCAATATAGTTCTCCAATATAACCATGATGATCCATTAACTATACTGTTACATTCAGTGTTCGGGATCTAACAGTCCACGCCCTCATCGATCGGACCTTTTCTCATCTTCCAAGCGGTGTAATTATTTGGTTCCCCATATGGTCTACCCTTCGGATTGACACCGACCGAGCCGCACACGGCATGTGCCGCTACCCGAGCCGCTACGCCCTACAGGTCGTCACATCCAGCCACCAGGTCCGGTCGTCACGCAGGTCTGGTCGTCCCAGTCGACCCTCCAAGGCTCACCAGCAGCAGCGAGGGCTTCCAGGCAGGGCTGGCGATGGGGGCAGAGCGAGAGTCAACGGATGGAGACTGAAGGAGATCGGATGAAGGCAGTAATGGCAGGAACTGACTGGCGGGACCAGAGAAACCAGCGATGCAAGCGGGTGGTGAACCACCGACCGATCAACTCATCAACTACCAGTCACGAGACTTATGCTGAGGCCGAAATTGATTCCATGCAGCAAGAGCAACAGGCGCGGGACCAGAGATGGACAGAAACGGATGAAACGGGAAGAAGCAGACACCTTTGACTGAAGGACTTCACGTCCAGAAGGAGAAGTTCTGGGGAGGGGAGGGAGGACATGTTGATGTCCTTTGCTGTGGCAATTCAGGTGATTGGTCCACAAAATCATTTTTGGAGGTGCGACATGGAATCAGGCTATCGGATCGGACCCATCACAAGGAGTAATCTCATGCCGACTCATTCACACGGAGCGAGTGCCAACACGTGATGTACTGGTAGACCTGACGATTGAGATGTGGTGGCAGCCTGGTGGCAACAGAAAAACCAGCGACTGAATCTTCAAGGTCCACTTGAGCTGAACACAGGTCCACCAGAGACTCAGGTCCACCACGGACGGCCAGGGCGTTCCCAGCGTTCCCTGCGTTCCCTCAGTCCGTCGCTCCCGAAGCCGAAGCTCAACGCACCGACCGATGCCGCCGTCGGCACGGTCCAGTCGCCGAATCGGCCGCCGAGGCCTTGCAGAGTCGGCTGAATCAGTTGCAGGCGGATCGACAGGAACTCCTGAAGAAGCTCCAGGCGGCCTGGGAGTCTTCGGTTGGTTTCTTTTCTCCTGCAGATGAACACGGACCCTGAAAAAGCATAAAAAGGCTCTTGCACGCAGTGCTTTTCAGGGTCCTCCTGCAGATGATCATGGATGCTGCAAACTCACTCTTGGAATAAGATGTTCCTCTAAACGACCCCAGTTTTATTTTTTTCAGGGCCCATGTTAGTCTGCAGGGGGGTACGCTTGGGTCGGCTTGCGGCCCGGACCCCTATGTTTCCCTGGGTTTGGCTTCTTCACGGAGGGACGGCTGGAATGGATGGCTTCCGGGTGGTGAGGGGCTAAAGAGAAGGTTATTTTGGTTTCATGTCTGGATCATGGATGGGTTGTTTATTCCCTCCCATGGGATGAACAAGTAGGTTTCAGAGTCCTATAAGAAATCCGACAAGAGTCTTGGAGTTGTACAGCTGTGAGCTAACAAACGATGTACATGCACGTGGACCAACTAACTAGCAAGACTCCCAACCTTTTGTGATTGGTTTCCCCACTCAAAACGATCCGGTGGAAAAGCTTCACCTTGATTTTTTGCGGGCAAACGGCTCGTCAGATAGAGTCAGCATGCCAGTCACAAGACGGGGGTGCCGGTTCCGACTGGAGGATATGGGTGCCTCTGTCACATCCACTCACTGGATGGGACTAAAAACTAAAAACCACCCCGGTCTGGTGACTCCTGGGGGGGGCTGTTGATGGTGAAGGCTTCGTGCACGCATGTGCGGACTCACAGGACCCCTCTTCCTTAACCGTTGGGGTCGAAGGTCGGCTCGTCAACTCAATGACACAGTCCTTGCGACCCTTATAGGCCTTATAAGTGAGATCCAATACAGATTGAGACCTGACCTCGACATCCACTACTTACACATCCTTGCACTACGAAAATCCCCATCTAGCTCACTGGCGGCGCCCCTTCTGTTAGTTTTGGTATTTCTGAAAAACAGATCTGAGACTCCTGGACAGGCTTTGGACGAAGAGATTGCCGTGGCTGGGGAACCCGCCTGGGACAGTTCGACGTCGCTAGTGGGATGAATCTTGGTGCCATTGGACTAATCAATCATGATGAATCAATGGATTCCAATGGATCGACTTGATCATGCTGGTTGGGGAAGAACTCGTCCGGACTTACCCTCCCAGCCATCATAGAAGTTCTGGCGACAGGAAGAATCCTTTGCAAAGTCTAAACATGTCTAAACCTGTGGGTTTTCCACTTCCATGTTTGTTGGGTGCTGGCTGGTGCTGGGTCGTTCGACACATTCTATTCCTGATGTGTTCTGCGATTACTCTTATTGCACCCAGTCTGAACACTCAAGAACACTCAAGAGAAGCATTCACTTGGATATTTTTAGGCATCACCTGTCGACAAACATAGGCATAACAATGTTGTTTCCCCTCACGTGTGCTGTGCCAAACGCAACGTGCGTATCGAATTCTATTCCTCGGATTTTCATGAAGTGCCTGACCTCAACCATGTCTCTCAGGCCACCTCTGCCTATCAAGCTGCTGCACAGCGAGAGCGGCAGGCGCATGTTCTTGCTCAGGAAGGAACATGTGAGTGTTGGTGGATCGAGTATAGGATCATTCAGGCAGTCTTTCTGAGAGGTTGCCATCTTCAGATCGACTCTGGCTGTGCAACGCCCACCATGTATGTTGATGGTGAGTCTTTAGTTGTGCCTACGTGCCTTAACAATCTCCTAATCTTGACATGTACTGTTTCCAAGCAGTTAAGTTATATAATGTGTTTTTGGTATCTACTATATCCCCATGTTTTAACAGACCATACGGACTACATACATACCTTGCCAAGGATCTTTGACCACACCCGACGACGTCATATGTCGAAGCTGGCGAAGCAAAAGACAGAGCGGGGCATCTCCATTGCAGAAGATCAACATGGAATGCATGATGTTGTCCATCTTTTTCTTCATATGATTTCCATGCCTTTAAACGAGTATTTTGTGGGGGGGCCCATGTCGACCTCTTTTCCCATACCAATCATGGGCTCCCTCGTGACTCTTAGGTTTCCTCTTCATCTCCTCACCGTCCCCGGACGGAACCACCGAACCTGAGCTTCGGCCCAGCTCCCACGACGCGCGCTCGGGCGTGCGCGCTTGGAAAGACCAGGTGCGTGCCAGTGCCAAGCGTGTCGCTGGGGAGTTGAAACGGGAGCTCTCCCTGGAAGAGGCGGGGAGCGAAGGCGCACGCTCTTACTACGCACCGGGGGTGGAGCCGAGCCGCCGAGCCCGTCAGTCAAGGTCAGTCAAGCTATCAGGGTTCGCGAGCGAGTGGGTTGAACTCTGACCATGTCTCCCAGGCACGACGTCGTCGGACTGCCAGGACGGACTGCCGCCCCAGACAGACTCCCCAAACCACCCCTGGCCGTTTTGAAGGCATATGACATAAGTCCCATAGAATCCCAACAGAGGCGCTTGGATGTTCCTCAAAACGACCCTTGGGATTGGCAGAAATATGTCAAAAGCCATTGGACCATTCCAATTGATAAATAAGATATGTTGAGAATCACCCGGGTTGTTTCCGCCACAGGATATTGTTCGTGATTATCCATGTTCACAACCGGCACTTGGGAGACTTCCCTACTTGGGGTTCTGGACTGGTTCCAACAAGACAATCGAACTCTGAAGCATTTTGGATCACTGGAATACCTTGTATTCTGAACCCTAAACACTATAGGTGTTTTCAGAAGACGATGCATGCTGCATGCGTGTTTTTGAGGCTCATGCCACCCTGGAAGATGCCCTGAACGGGTGTCGGCAGAGCGGCAAGGGCCGGGAAGCCGTTCGCGGCGACAGGTGGAAGCACGGAAGGTGGGCGACAGGCAGCGGTTGTTGATGGAGGCCAGCGAGAGCTTTTGGGGTGACGGTGTTTGGCCAGCGAGCGTCGTGGGTCTCTTGGCCCTCTTTGGGCCGCAAGAGGACTGCAAAAGGATTTACACCCATAGTCTTCCAAGGGACCATTTTCCACTTGCACGTTAGTTCCAGGGAGTGTAACGAAGTGTTCGATAGCGAGATGCTTCCCACTGGTGATGGCAGCCAATCAATTTGATCCTCGTTTCAAAAGCAGCGGGACAACCATCTTGGGATATCTTGGGGATGATTTTGATGGTTGATGTCCTCGTTCTTCGAAGATCAGAGCGGGATTTCCTTGTGTTTTGTTTCGCCGTCGGAATAAATCCACTTGATTTGACATGGACACTTATTGAAAGGGCGATCCTGAAGGAGGCAGGATGAGCCACAACCAGCTTGGTGTTTCCAACGAGCGATCCAAATGAAAACGACCAGCTCGTGTGAAGTTTATTCACCGAAAGCACCCATGTCTGTTGATTCAAAGGCTTTTGCAGTGAAAAAACCGCTCCCAGTCCGGGTTTGCTTCACCAAAGCTGATCAAGCCTGACTGCCAGCGGATCACCGCGAGTTGTCAAGCCGCGCCGAGCCAGCCTTCGTAGAAGGCGCCAGCTGAGTTGAACGAAGTGAGTAAGTAGGGGATCTGCGGGGGGTGGCCCGAGAATATACCACGTAAACTCGAAATTAGGTGGAGGAGAGGGGTGTGCGGAAGTAAGGTTTTGGAGGTTGAGTTTTTGATAGTTTTTGTGATTTTTGAGGGGGTGGTGATGCAAGAAATGCATTTTGCATCATTTGCATTATCTGAATGGTAAGGTGTAGCTTTACAGAGGCCGATGTGTTGTAGAATCGTGCAGCTGTGAATGCATAACCTTCTTACAGACCCACATAAGTTCAAAGCACTAATGAGTCTTCACACCCGTGGGTTGCCGCGTGTTTCTCAAGGTTATCTAGCGGTTGACGGAAAGGGAAATTGAAGTGCTACACCTGGCAACTGAATTGTAGCTACCCTGGGTCCGTATACATGCTATGTTGCTATACCTCTTTCTATATAAGTTCAAAGCACGAATGAGACTTCAAAGCTGTGGATTGCTGGGCGTGTGTAAAGGTTATCAAGCGGTTGACGGAAAGGGGACTTGAAGTACTATACCTGGTAACTGAATTGTAGCTACCCTGGGTATCTATACCTGGCAAGGCGCCAGCTGAGTAAGAAGGAGGTTTCGGGGAAATTGAAGTGGAAAAACATACTTCAAAGACTTTGTTTCACCACAGACGTGCTCGTTGACAAAAAGCGCTGGCTTTCGTTTTGCAGTTTCTCAGGTTCATCTATGTTCTAGGGAAACTGAGCTGGTCAATAACTCAGTTTTGCAAACCACTGTCTGCGCCTGGGAAACGTTTAGCATCTGTACTCTGGCCAGCACCTACGCACACGGATCTTGCTCTCACACAACCAGGTCGGTGCTCTCAAACGCTGTAGATAGACATCAAATCCGACGGAATGGTTTGCTACCATTGATGGGCAAGTGTTCCAGCACCTGACCCGGATGGAGCTGCATTTGAACATATACTGGGAAACACAACCCATGGTGAATGTCAGGGAAGTTCTCACCCTTTGTATGTTCATATTCATACCTGGACCATCCAATGATGGGTGTCCAATAGACTACCCTGCCCTACTTATGGGCCTCCGCTGGGCACCCGAAGTGCTAGGTCAGCTGCTAGGTATTCTATGGGCTGTTGGGAAATTCCAGTTGCGAGCAGCCTGGTCGTCTTCCCCCTTCTGTCGTCTCGTGAGGCTCAAGCAGCCTCCCGCGATATCGAGGCAGGCCATGTAAGCTGTTTCTGCTTCTGCTTGGAAGTGTTCTTCGACTGACCCAATACGTAAGGGCATTATTAACTTTTGACCTCAAATACGCCGTCCCACCTACCAGGGTCATCCAATGGGTGTCCAATAGACTACCCTACCCTACCTACTTACAGGCCAGACAGGGCACCTATTGGAAGTGCTAGGTACCCATCTATTCGGTGGTCCGAGCTCACTCGTGACAGTGCTTGTAATACTTGCGTATGCCTCTCAGACAAGGAGGAGGGTCCCCAAATGTTTGCAGCAGTAGACATCGTACAAGGACAAAGATCAATACCCCAGTCGTTGCGAATAGTACAATTTGGCGCCTTTTAAGCATAGGAGGAGTATCAAAAGAATATGTCACAAACACATACTTACAACACTTACACACACACACACTCTCTTGTTGAAGACCAGCAAGCTTTCCCATCCTGTTCTTCGAAACTGGTCCTCCCACGATCCCAGCTCCTCTCCAGTTCGATCAGATCCCAACAGCGGGACCAGTCACCCACGCGCTGCGCTCCTCGCGACCCGCTGGGAGCAGGACCTCATTGAAAGCCGCACCGAAGCAGCTGCGGCGCCTCGTTTGGGGAACCGGTGAAGAGTCGGGACGAGGGGCGAGCGTGGGGGCGGAGCGTGGGGGGTGGAGCCGAGCCAGGCGAGCCGAGCCGAAGAAGCAGTGGGGGGTGACATGAGTCGGGGTGGATCTTCAAGTCACCAGGCGGTCCCAGGTGACATGAGTCGGGGTGGTCACCCCCACTGCTGATTTTCTTTGGACATTGGCAGGAAGTAGATTCCTGTCACGCCCAGGCTCGCATCGCAGCACAGGATCGCCTCCCTGCAGCCCGGCACGGGTTCAAAAAAACGAGAGGCTATGGGAAGCGGGAGGTCAAAGGGCTAAAGGCGGGAACCTCTTTTTGGATATTTTCCAGGGGGGTGGGACTGGAGTTGGAGTGGAGCGATCGCTTCATGTGACCATGAACGCGACTTAGCGACAACCTCAGCGGTGAGTTTTTACTGGGAGAACACTGGAGAAAGATGAGAGATGATGGGAGATTACATGGGGATTTGTTCTGCATCTGGAGATGTCGCATTGCTGGAGTTTTGGGCGTTGAGAAGCGATGTAGAGCCACATGACCAGAGCATACATTTCACCCACAGTGAATTCCGTATTGGGTATCTCTTTCTTTGTTCGGGAAACTGGAGGAATTGGTTTGGCATGGTTTGGCTGCTCTTGGGAGGATCTGGGAGTTTCAGCGGTTCGAAATAGTTCGAGATGGTTCTTAAGTTCCAGCCCCATGGGTTCGACACGTGTCCAATACAATCAATGGCACCCCTTTTCAGATGAGTCTCCAACCTCACACGAAGAAATACGACATACCAGTCTCCCATCTAACAAGAGGCAGGCAGCTTCTACCCAAAAGGTTCCAACCACATCCTTCCTAGTTGTTGTGGGTGGCCTGGTGGGAGGTCATCCGAGAAGGTGGGACAGGAGCCCAACCCTTCGGGTTTGGCCTTGGTGCCCTAAGGAACGGCAAGCCAAAGCATCAGCGCTATGCCTTCAGCCGGGGCACCCGGGCGCCGCACCGGGCACAGCTCGGAGGCGGTCGAAGCGGCCTGGAGGTTCGAAGGACCGTCGGGACTGGATTAGTTAGGTAGCTCTTAGACATACGCGCTCATTGTATTGGGATAGATGGGTGATTTTCTATGGTGCTCAGAAATGCTTTATAGGAGCTAAAAGGTATATAGCTCAAGCAATCAGTATTTTTTGTGGGTTTTCCAATCTGTTTTGACCAGAGCTCCAAGGAGTTCGGACTCTCTCGGATGTGTTTGCGCGGCTCGGTCCTTTTCGTGAACTTCCGAGACGAACGGTTTCAACGTTTGGACTTCGGGACGTCTGCCCCTTTCTCGAGTTGCTCGGCATCAACCAAAGCCATCGACTAACTATAAGCTCTAGGCTCGATGTCTTCTCAAAGCCAACTTCATCCGACCTTGTCAGGTCCCAGCTTCATCTTCATCCCACCTGCTGTCCGAAGCCGGGCTTCGGTTCCGCCCCCTTCGCTGCCTGCAGGTCCGAGAAGGATCGGGCCAGAGCCTTCGAGGTGCCCTGGCGTAGCGGTGAGTGGTGCCAGGTGAAAGCCACCTGCAGGTCCGTGTTGGCTGGGCTCCAGCAGGTCAGGCGGTTTTGGCCGGCGTTTTTGGGTTGAGATGTGGGGAAAGACACACCCGCACCCCCCCCCCTACAGACTCCAAGTGGATGAAACGACTCTATATAGGAACCCTGGCGCAGTGGTGACAGGGGTGAACTGAACTTGGAGATTCATCCAGGTGTTCTGGCGCACTAAGAGGTGCTGCGCTGGCGGCCTTACCGAAAGGCCAACACAAGACAAAGGAGAACAGAAGATGAGTAACAGACATCAGGGGTAACGGTTAACGGCACACGAGAATTCACACGAATTCACCAAAACCACAAGCGTCAGACATGTGAACATCAGGATGAAGAAACATGCCAGTCATGCCAGGTGTAGACCAGAACCTGTGGACTTCTTTGCTCTGACGAGGGCACTGGACCTCCTGACAGCTGGCTCTCTTGATGGGCTGTGCCTTCAGGGCGGTGCCTTCACGTGGAGAACCCACCGTGACGGAGGGCTCCAAGCACCTCCGCACCCGGAAGATCCCCCACACGTTTACCCATGCAGACACGACCTGTCTGGGACTGCCATAGGGCTGCCGCCCCAGACAGACCCCCAGTCAACCACCCCAAGCGATATAGGCAGTCCGGACTGGCAGTCCCAGACAGGTCGTGTCTGGCTTGAAGGTACCTTCAGAAGATTCGGAGAACCTGGTTGCTTTCCCGGTGAATCTCGCGATCGATGAACGGTGCATGCGGGGCTCTGCTCGCCAGCCAGGAGCTGCTCGCAGGCTGGCATGCCGCTGTTTGGGGGCCCACCTGTCAGGATCTGCGCGTGGTCGGGGCGCGGCACGTGAATCGATTCGCGCAGCCCTCTACAGCGAATTCATGAGTTTCTTAGAGCCTTGGCACGGTGGATAAGAAGCTTGGTGGTACGTGCTCAGGAGATGATTTTGATGATATTTCTCTTGGGCAGGGTGAGTCAGAGAATCTTGTTTCAATGGGAAGCTACCAGGACCACCCGATGTGAGTCCAATGGACTACCCCACACTACCTATAGGCTTCTATTTGAATGGTCCCGGTATGCTTTGTACGGACGTTTTATTTCAACTGTGCTCACTCCAAGACGCACACATAATAATATATAATATAATAAACCATTCCCTAAACAAACTGATTGCGCTATTTCCATTGAAGAACACCACGGTAGTAGCTATAGTCAAGTCGTTTGCATGTTCAGATCGACTGTTCTGTATCCTTTCGAGTTGTAGTCCCGTCAGTCCAGTCCAATATGATTTCAGATGTGACTAATGTTGGATCTTGATTAGTAAAGGCCCCCCCGTCCTCAAACCCTCAAACAAATGGAGGATCCTCCATGAAAAACTACCACCAAAACAAATCTTGGTTCCTAGGAGGATTCCTTTTGTAATTGATTGTAGTATTCATGTTCCTTCTGAAGTTCTTTGTCATTAGGTATTCTTTGCAATCCTTTCATACTACTACATAAAGGATTGATTAAGGAATTGATGGCTTTGGGGGAAGCTGTGAGTTTTGAAGAAGAACGATAGAAACCTATACAGTAACCTATAACTTATCAATACTCTCAGCAAGCCAACCATTGGCTTAGTAGTATTAAGCATTATTATGTTTATTTTTATTCTGGAAACAACTCTGCATAATTGAGGACCCTTAACACAAATTCATTATTGAGGATCACGGGCCTTCCTGGTCTACTACCTTGAAAATTTGTTTAGGA